GAAAACGGATAATTTGTTTTATTTTTATGCAACTTATAATGCGACCTTAATTTACTAATATTAGTTATATGAAAATTATAAGTATGATAGATATTAGAATAAAATCATAATCCCGTTCGTATTTTTTTAACCTATGATTCGTTTGTATAACGAAAACACGTTGTTCCACTATACATATATAGTTATAGAATTACTATTTTTCTTTCACAAACAATAACTTAGACCACCATTATTCTTTTACTCCGTATCAACTTTATACAATGAAAAATTAATAAAGTAAACCCAAAACTATAGGGTTACAATAAAGACGGTGGGAGTAATAGTAAAATATGGCTTTATAAATTTTTAAATAGTTAAATGAAATATATATATACTACCAAGACTGTTGCATTACTAAAATTAATCTAATTGAATAAAATTAAATCTTTATAATGAAATTTCATTATCTATGTATACACTACTAAAATGATTTTTACAATAATAATATAGATATTCTACCAGAAACTATAATACACAAAAAATAAAAATTATCAGAGACATCTCTTACAATCTTTAATTTTTTTTCCCTACTATTGTAACATTATAGTTGACTTAGGGTCTGTTCTGATTTACTGAACTGAGTTGAGGTGAACTGAACTGATTGAAGCTGAACTGAACTGAATATTTTATGAGAGAGGGAAATTAGGAACTGAACAAAACTGAACTGAGATTAAGCTGAAGAGAACAGACCCTTACTTTTCCAATAATTTCCTTTCAATTGGCGCATGGACATAATCCCTTCAAATATAAAATAATTAATATTAAGTTACAACTAAGTTGTTTAACAAAATTTAATACGATAAGTAACATAATTAGATTAGGTAAAATAAAACAAAACATACATTTATAAAATAATGAATAACAATCAATTTATTTTGTTTACCATCAGAAAGCCTTGATATATTTACATTATTTCCAATATTTTTTGTTAATCAACGAATTAGACCTGAAAAAAATTCACACCATGAAAAAGTGTAGATAAATAATATTCACATGTTTGTGTTTTTTGTATAGTATATATATATATATTGTCTATTTACAATTGAAAAAAAAAAATCAAAATTATATTTTTGAGAGGATGTATACAAATCTTTAATATCATCCTATCTTATATATTTGTGGAGTAGCAAATAAATCTCTTATAAAAATTTTATCTAATCATGAATGGGTTGCTAGATAAGATAAAAATCGAACATTTTTTTTTTTAAGAATATTGATAAAGACTGAACATTATTGTTATTTTTTTTTTTTTTGAAGAATATTGATTTTTTTGAAAAAAATTGAAGAATATTAGTTAATTATTAATAATATATATTTCTTTAAAATTTTTTGTAAAAAATTGATTGAACGTTTTCTTAAAAACAAAATGAACATATATTTTCCTTTTTCAAATATTTAATTTTAAAGTGTTTGTCTATAATAATTGTACAATTTATGGGTTTTTTTTTTAATTTAAATCCTAATATCAAAAGATTGTCTTTTAAAAAAGATAATTTTTAGTTTTAAAATAATTTAAATAATAAATCATTATTCTTCGTTTTTACCTACGTGGCAAAAAATTTAAATTTCATTCGTCACTTTTGCTTATGTGGCGAGTGAATTTTTTATTTCTAAAATAAAATACAAATCTAACTTTTAATTGGTTGAAATAATACCGTGTGATGCACGAATTGTCATACATATATCTCAAGAAAAGATATTTTCATATATACTCTAAGGTTTTTTTTATAATTATTTGATTTATTTTACAATTTAATAATTTCAGACAAAAAAAAAATTTAATTAAAATGATATTGCCAATTACAAAAGTATATTTTTTTAATGTAATTTATAATGCCACTTAATTTATTGTTGTTTTGTATTTTATTCATTTTTGTTGGTTATATGACAATAATATGATATCTTTAAAAAAATGTAAATATGATATTTCATTGATTACGTATTAACATAAAATCTTTAATATGAAAAGATAATAATTTTTTATTTTAAAAATAATTTAAATCCTAAATCATTATTCGTAGAACAAAATCAAAAATAAAAATAAAATTATAATAATCAATTTTGAAAAAAATTGCAGAACAAAGTTGACTTTAATTGAGGGAACGTAATCACCCTGTAATTAAAAATAAAAAATTAAGTTAATTTTATGACTTAATTAAGCTACCTAAATCACAAAAAAATTTGATTTAATAATAAAATTAATTGATAAAAACTAAAAGGTTCATTAAAAGATTTAATAAATGTAAACAATTTATAAAGATATAATACCTTCTCTTCCAATAAGATTATCAAGCGAGAAACTCATACTTTGATATTCCAAAGATTTTTGCTTGAATTTAATTCTCTAATTAAATTAGATCTGCATGTAAAAACAAAATTCAGTAAACAAAACATAAACATATAATCATTAAGTATCCCAAATAAATACAATTTAATCAAATAATCACAAATATACATTTAAACATGAGTTTTAAAAATTAGGCTAAGAATTACCTAGCCATTGATGACCTAATAAAACTGACACAAATTAATGACATAAAATTTGCTTGGTTTGGTTTTGTATTGATACGAAATTTTGTTGGTGTGATATGATACATTAATTTATAATGGTAAATATCACAAATTTTAATTTAATTATAATTTAGGAATAATTTTTATTTCTTATCATAAACACTATCAAAATTTATCTTATAATAGTAGGTATATAAATCCTATATCTAAAGATGATTAGTTTAAAAGATAACTTTTAGTTTTTTAAATAAATTAAATCCTAATAAGTCAATATTCGTTGTTTTTACTTACGTGGCAAAACTCTTAAATCTCATTCGTCACTTTTACTTAGGTGGCAAACGAATTTTTTAATTCTAAAATAAAATAGAAATCTAATTTTAATTGGTCGAAATAATGCCTTTGCTTATGTGGCGCGCCGAATGCTCTCAAAAAATGCCTACTTTATTTATATATATTAGATTAGATTAGTATTAATAATTTTCTAAATAAGGTTAACTTTTTATAATTTTAAATGTACATATTCATATACTACGTATGTTAAACTTATGCGTTGTTAATAATTCTGAACTGAGGAGTACAGTTCATTATTACCCCACTAATAAATTGAACTTAGCCTTTAAAATACTTTTAAAAGAAATAAACGGATGGAATGGTAGTTTGCTGACACTAAGAATCAGGAAATTTGATTAGCTACTACTAGGAAGACAAAGATATACACAATTAATGAATCGAGCAGAATATGTTCACTACACATTAGTTTATTATGGCCAAGTAAATCAGCACCATATATGTTACAGAATTGAGAATGATCTCTTGGACCGGTGGCCCAGAGGCCATTTCACACCGATTCTTATCAGGCAAAATACCCATCTTCCTATCCTTCCAAGCATTGCCAGTTAGGCATCCTGTGATAGGAGTTTTCGGTTGAGGCCCAATTGATCTTACCGTGTAAAATATATATATATATATATGTTATCACATGAATATTAGCCCTCTCTATTTTTATTTTATCTTTTATTTTTTTATGGCTGTTGATTATTATTGCTGTTACTCTATTGCTTTTTTTTTTTTTTTTTAATACTTTAATCTAATACTCTTTTCTCTTGTTTTGGCTTTATATATTTAAAACTAAACATGAAATCTTAATAAAGATCCTCTGTAAGTCCTTACTTATAAGGTTCACGTGATTAATGGCCCACAAGTGCACAACAATTGTTTAATTAGAGAGTAAAACAACTTGACTAGTACTAAACATGTAATATTTGAGAGAAATATAAAAAAGTCTGAACTAGAAAAACTACCATGAAATTATACGAAATAAGAAAATTTGTTATTTTCGTATATCTAGATTATTTGGATGGAATTAAATTGTTGGGTTTTTTTTTTTTTTTTGAAAATAATTAAATTGTTGCTTTGTAAGTCTCTAATGCACTAATATGATCATCAATAATATTTTATTTGTGCATTGTAAAAATTATTACATAAAATGGTTAATATTTTGAAAATACACATTTTGATGCTTCTCATAAAGTTACACTTAACTATAATAATATCTCACTTGACTATATTTTTGCATTAGTAGTTATATTTTCGCATTAATAGTTAGAATTTATGATTTAAGTTTTTAAAAGTTTGACCTTCAAAAGAGAAATGGTGCAACTATTTAGTAACAAAGGTAGTAGATAGCGAATAACATAAGTGAACAATTACAGAAACAGTAGAAATGCTTAGATCATAGTTTTAGTTACAAGTTTGTGGTTCTACTATACTACCTTTATACTGTATAAAACAAGCCGAGTAATCCGTCGATATGATTATTGTATCTTCTTCAGCCTCCACCTTGAGGAGCAAGTCCGTTCTACTCCGTAACATTTAATTACAATTAAGCACATTTATTTAGGCTCCGTTTGTTTTGATGGAAAACAAATCTAATGGAAAATGAATTTCCATGAAATCCATTTTCTGGAGGAAAACTCAAATTTGGTTTAGTTTTCCTTTGTTTGTTTGTAAGGAAATTCATTTTCCAAGAATCCCATTTTCCTTTGTTTGTTTGGAAATTTATTTTCCTTTTAAAACAATTTTCCTTTTGTTACTTAATATTGTTTGTGAACCTATTTTTTTTTATAAATTGAACCTAATTAATTTGTTACATGAATAAATAACAATCTTGAAACTTTTATTAATTAAAAGTATATGATTCGGGCTTGTTCGAATCACTACTCCAGATAAAAGCCTATGTAAAAGTTGAAACGCACCAACCCAAATACAAGTGATCAAAAGCCAACAGCAAATACAAGAAACTTACAACTATAGTCTAGCAAATACAAATTATAAATACAAAGGTCAATCCAAGTAACGTAACTCATATATAAATACAAATTTCCTTCTCTTTTGAATCTTATATGCCCTGTATCATAATTAATTTGAGAAATGTGAACAGAAGAATCAAGTGATCAAAAGTTATTAATAAGTACTCAAAAGGATCAACTATGGAAGTATGTACACTGGACAAAAAGCTACCCATCAGATATGCAGCTTGGCATTAAACAACAAACATTTCAAATAACTGCATAGGTAGATGGGGTACCCAGATAGATAAGTACACTAGTAAGGTTCAACATTGAGCATTATCTCAGAAGCTGCAGTTGACAGGCTTAAAATTAAAAAGAATACTAGACATTAACAGACACGGCAACACAACCCATATAACAGCATATAGCAGCCAATAGCAAGGGGGCAGGAAAATCAGCTTCCAGCAGCCTACCAGAAATTAGAGTGGAAGCAGCAAACAGACTTTAATGTTTATAGTTTTTGACAAACTTTTCGATCCAAAGTTTGCGTAGTGGCAAGCTTTTTGTCAAAAATGCTTTTGCAAGCATTTCGCGCTCCACCAAGTGATCAAAAACAGCAACACGCACCCCTTCTTCAATGTCCTCCATCTTCATAATTTCGTCACAAAGCTTCTCCACATCAAGTTGATTGTTTGGAAAATTTTTGAGAGCACTAACCACTTCTTGAAGTTGTGCTGAAATGTGTTCCATTTCCGATCCTTCGTCAGTTCGAGACCTCTTTCAATGTGGCCTTGAGCCCGACGAGGTACCACTATCAGCCTTACTCTCAGCCTTGGAAGGCACACTATCAATAGTCATACTTGGTTGTCCACTTTCCATTGAAGCATCAACATCGATGTCGGAAAATGTCTTGGAGAAGTTCCCCCGTGCTAAATCTTTACCCACTACTATAGCCATCTCCTCATACATATCAATTTTTCTATTAAAAAACTTTTCATATTTTGGATATTCCTGCAAAAATAAAACGTTATTAGGGTCATCTAATCCAGAACACCTACACTACACACTGCACTCACCACAGCACACACACACAAGCAAGAAGCAGCACACCACCATCACAAACATGTTTAGAAAAGGTGTATAAAACAACACTACCTTAACATAAGTAGCATATGCTGTGGGAGATGTTGTCACCATCTTCAAGTTATCGTTCCATCCAAACCCGTAGCTGTTTCGGACTGTTGATATAGCCACCCATGCATTCCTCACAGTTTTCATATGATTCTCCACATGTTCTGAGGTGCAATTGGTTTGAAACTTCTCAGAGATAATCTTTGCAGCAGCCACAAAAGAACTTGTTCGAAAAGTATTGTTAGGCCGGTTTCCCTTTTTAACTTCTTCGGCTAAAAAGTTGAGTAACTCCTTTGACATGTCCTTTGACCAGCGAAAGTTGGCCTTTTTCTCTTCGTTTTTAACCTGGAAAAATCACTTTAGCATTAGAATCTGGAAAAAAAAACAAAATAATAATCGTGCATGCTATAAAACGCATCTGGAAAACCTGCCCTGTTGAAAAAGTAAACTCCAGATATAATATTAGGTATCAAGCAATTTCCACATTTCCACCAGAACAACATATAAACTTTAAATATGAAGAATCTGTAACAAACATGGCATATGATTGATCCTACAAAGGAGAGAATGAAAAGACAACATAAGAAAAATGTGTTATAGAATATAAAATACATAATTAATGAACTAATTATCTAAAGATGCATATGCTAAGCCCATCAAATTCGAGCCTTCTTGTATACAGTCCACATCGCTGTTGCAATGGCATTTCTCTTCCTTTCAATTTGTTGGTTTTCTTGTCGTTGTATCCCTTGAGTACGTGCTTCGCCCATGTGTTGTAAATCTTGTGATGTCATCTCTACTTCAACTTCTCTTGTAATTGGGTCATTTGGGTCAACACCTCTAAGGTAGTTATGTAACACACAACATGCTAGAACTACATCTACTTGGGTTTCATACGGCCAAAATGGCTCAGCATCCAAGACACGAAATCTCTTCTTTAATACTCCAAATGACCTCTCCACAACCATTCTTAGTGAGGAGTGTCGAAGATTAAATAATTCACGTTCATTCTCGGGTGGATTGTTGGTATACTCTTTCAAGTGGTAGCGAGTACGCCTATATGGAGGCATGAATCCTTTACGCTCACCATACCCCGCATCAGCAAGGTAATACTTTCCTACAATTTAAAGAGATTTTTCGTAGTTACTAACTTATAACCAATGCATAAAAGAAACCAGACAAAAAAATAATCTTAAAGTACCTTTAGGAACCTTAAATCCCCTTTTGAGCGCATCTTGTAAGACCTTTGAGTCATGAGCAGAACCCTCCCAACCAGCCAGCACATATGTAAATTTCATATCAAAATCAACAGCACCTAGCATATTTTGGGTTGTCCCACCCTTTCTACCACGAAATCGACCTTGCATTTCAATTGGGACAGATGCACGTATATGTGTCCCATCTATAGCTCCTATGAAATCCTCAAACCAAGGAAAAAACCTAGGGTTGTTTTGAATTTCAGATGGAAGAGGAGAGGCTTGTGGTTTGACAAAATCTGGGTACAATTTAAGGATGGCTTTAAGAACAACATGAAAGTAATGATGTATGGTCCAAATTGATCGAAAAAATCTTCCCCCTGCTACCCTAAATCTTACATTATGCCCTAAAATGTATAAAAATATCATTACTTGTTCTTTAACACCTATTCGAATATTTTCTTTCAAAAGTCCTCTTTCAACTAGAATATTACACAAATTCAAAAATGCTTGAGGCCTTATACGAATCTGACCCAAACAATGAGTATCACCACAATACAAAACACTATTAATAATCTCCGACCTTAGACTATCTCTATTAATATAGGGTTGCCTAATTATCCTTAGCCTTCTTGTTTTAGACCTACGCTCGTTAAGAAAAGCAAGAGAACAAGCAATAATAGCAGCCACAGCGCCAATAACAATGCCTTTAGTATCATTAGCCATCTACATCAATTCCATCAAAAAAAAAAAAACAAAATGTTAAGCATACTTATATGTATATTAATTCGATAGTGGTTTTTGGGCAAAGTTATACCTTAGATGATTTTTGGGTAGACAATCCACGCTCCGGTTCCATAACTAATACCAATCTGAAAAAAGAAAATTATGATGATTGATGGTATTATCAAAGTAATCAATCTAACTCAACGGCAACAACACACTTACAACAACAATTAACAAAACAACAAAACAATTATCCCCATAAGACCTTCATTAAGCTAGATATCGATACAAAACAACACTGACCAATGGAGGAACAATAGAACAATACTAGATATTGATACATTAAGCTAAGGCCATGTATTCACAGTCTCATTTTTCAAAACTATTAATCACTTTAGCTTGATTATAAAGAACCAATAAATCAATTTTCACTAGCACTACAAACATATACTGCCAGAAGACTCAAAAATCAGATAGCAGACTGTTTTTGCCCTTTTTGTTAAAGTTTAAGTATCTGTCCATGACCCTTACCTCAATATATGGGTTTTGAGGGAGATAAATTCATAACGTAAAATCCAAAGAATAATAGATGGACCAGTTTAAGTGAAAAAAGTACTCCATATCTCTCACAAAAGCAGACATTTGGATATATTATTATGAGTACTTTATATCTCTCACAAAAAGTAAACTGAAAATTGTAGCACTTGATTTATTGGGAGCACAAGCGAAACTCTGTCTCTACCTACATTAGTATCTATTGCACCAATATACCAAATAGAATACAAGTATATAACGATAAGCTAAATATACTACTCGTATATGCTCATTTTATAATACTTGAAAGAAACTAACACTAGCGCCACATATATTCTCTACTAAACAGCATGAGATATGCAAACGACAACAATACGGCATCAACTACAATTCATCACAATAATAGGTAGCAATAAAATTCAGGCATAAGCTATCAACTATTGTAAACAAACCACAACAACATACATCAATTTACCATAAAAAGACTAGTCAACAAACAATACAATCCCCTGGCCAACAACACTTTGGTTGCTAGAAACTAACCAATCAATCATCCAACAACAACACCAATAATATCGATCATCAAATAGTCACATTCATACACAGAAGCTTCATCACATTACATTGTAAGCAGCCAAAAACAGAAGTCCAGCAATTAATTTTATGTGCAAACCCTAATTCCCAAATCAATAGCAAAAAATCAACCAAATTCCAGAATTCTTCATTATTACTTCACTTGTTCTTTAATAGAGAAGAATATTAACAAACCCTAATTAATCACAAACCTAACCTTAGGCATTTGAATCAAATAAACCAGTTGAATCCAATAAACCAGTCGAATCCAATAAAGAAGCAAACAATCAAAGAAAGGAAACAGAATAATTGGAAATTACCTTGTGAGAGCAGATCTTGAGGATGAGCAGTGAGCTTGAGGAGGAGCAAGCTCGAATGAGAGCAGCGAGCAACGATGGAAAAGAGGAATCCCTTGATTTTTTTGGGAAAATATTTGGGCCTCAATGGAAAAGTATTTTCTGGACCTATTTTCCATTTATGGGCCGATCCAAAACAAACAATAGAAAATAGGAAAACTATTTTCAGGGAAAGGGTTTTCCCTTGAAACAAACACAGCCTTAATATACATTGACAAACATAAATACTCTTTATAAAAGCAGAGTAAATAATACTTGTATAGTTGTATGTAGTATATTTGTACTTTTGTAGAGCTTTATAATAGGCTAAAGCTGCATATCTAGGTGATATAGATGTGCCCATATATTCATTTGGATTTTGAACCAACTTTGTAAACCCACCAATAACTTTATTTCTTTTCATAAACATCAATTTTTGTAAATCACTTTTATAAAATATAATCTTTATGATTATAAAATAGTCAACTAAGAGAACATCGCAATTTCGTCCAAGCCCAAAATGCCCCATAAAAAGGATTTCAGGAATCAGAAGTATTTTGTGATCCAGCTCATGAGATTTCTGCTCATCTTTTAGTTCAATGTTTATAGCTGTCTATGATTTAGACATTATTATGTACAAGTTGGATTTTAAGCAAAATTAAATACATGCAAAAGACAAACTTAACTTTTTATTTATTTTTTATATACAGTATATTTTACTAATTATAGAATTTTATTTTATGTTGGATCACAGTAGTTTATTTTAATGCATTAATTAATTAATTGTGTTGGGTAAACTTTACTACTAGAATCTATGTTAAATGACAACAAAAGAATCACAAAACTTAAACAAATCGTTACACTTTAATTTCTGATATTATGATTTTGGTACAATTTTCAATTCCTCAGGTACTAATTACATATTCAATCTTGTAAAAAATATATATATAAAAGTTACAAAAAATGTATATATAAAAAATAAATTAATTAATTGAATCCTAGTTATTTTGTGGTGCATTCCGGTGGTAGGACTTTGTACCTACGTTTGTCTTTACAATAAGAGTAGATCATTTGCTTGCTTCTTGCCCATTGTAGTCCTTTGTTTTGTTGATTTGATAACTTAACAAAATCTTGGCCCTCAAGAGGGTCCAAACTTGATGGGCTACTACTCTTAGAACATGATTTACCCGAAAGATCTTTCGGGTCATAAACGCAACCGGCCATCTCCATCCCCCCTAATGAAGCGGTAAATGGGGCGTACTTATAGTTAACCGGGTATTTTCCTCCATGGGTTGCCCAAGGTGATGCATCCCATATTGTGGCATAAACCGCCATAGGTTTTGATGGATAGGATGAAGACGTCGCTGGAGTTTTTTGTACTTCCCTAACCGGTATATTGTCCACTAGAAACCTGCATTTCGAAAAAAAATAAACTTGCTATTAATATTACAACTAAGTTAGTAGACATCCTTTAAAGTAATTTTATTAAGATAATTTTTCTATGAATACCTCATTTAGCCTATATTTGGTGTCATTATGGTTTGATTTCTTCTAGTAGTATGTTGCTAGGCATTTAAGGTTTGGGTAGGGAAGTTTGTGTCTAGTTGTTATGGGCAACTTGAAGTGATACAACTCATAGTGTTTGAGTATGAGGTCCACAATTTATATCTTACCTATAAACCATTTTGTTCCAAACATAAACATGTTACAATTTTATTTTCATAATAAAATAATATGTTTCACTCTTATTGAGATGCATGTATAAACCTTCTTAAGTTGAGTTACAAAATTCAAATAAATTTATCAACCCAGCCCCAAGTTTTGTCACACTTTTATTTATTAAAACCTGAAGTGCGTTAATATATAATGTAACTATTTAATCATACTACTTTATTAAAAAAAAAAATATTAGCAAGGATTGGTTTTATCGAGTTGTCATGTTACACCATAATAATTAATGTACAAAAAAATGACATGATTTTAGGTATAGTATAAGCTTATGTTGGCATCTACTTACACGATATGATGACTATTCCATATGATGCTGTATTCATGAAACTGTGTAGTTGGATCAAACCATAGGCGAAATTTCTCTTCTCTCCCTGTTTTTACACTTCCATTTCCATACATATTTGTTTGCAAAACCCAATTCCTGCTTTTTTGATGCCCAAGTAACTCGAAATCGATCTCATCGTGGTTGTGTGGAAAAATATCTGCATTCGACATCTGGGGCCGAGGAAAAAAAATCATTCAATTAGTCTCGCGGCTATTTATAAATAACTAAAATATCTTATGCAACCGTTGTATATTCTACATGCGTGTTAAAGGACTTACATAGAAGGCGACAACAACTCCAGAGGTGAAACCAGGGGGAAGTTTGATAGCAGCACTAAAGAACCCATAATTGTAATGATTCTTAGAACCAAAACCTGAACCTGTATGTTTTGATCATGTTAGATTATTACAAAATTACATTAATAAATTACAAAAAATTAGATTAAAAAAAAATAAAATTTACCAGTTTTTTTGTCAAGAGAAATCTTAGCAAAAGAACCATTGCCATAAATTTGAGCATTAGAGTCTCCAAACATTTGGGAGTAGTCCCGGTCGAAGGAAAGATGAGGGAAGAGGCTAGTTAATCGAGTCGAGCTCGGCGGCACACTTTGAGCGTTAATGCCATGGTTTGATAAGCTTAGTAGTATGAACGTATAAAAGATTATGGCTTGTAAATGGAGGATCTTGCTAAGCAAGTATGCCATATTTTTTTTTATACTATAGTTTGTGTAATGTCATAAATAAAAACAGAGGATTGTGGTGTTGGACAAATGAAGGGTGGTGTATTTATATTTGATATTAGAGGCTGCTGAATGCTGACTGGAGTTGCTGAGTTGGTGCAAGCTGGAATTTTCTGTATTTCTTTTGAGGTTCCTCTTGATAAAAATTATACGAAGTATTGTGTCATTGTTTTTATTGGATGTAGTTCTAGGTATTTGTACAAACCTAACTCTGTTCTAGCGTTCTAGGTGTTTGAAACAAAGTCGAAATGGGTGAAAGGTAAATTTGATCGATTCTGATGGTAATAAGGGATAAAATTTATTCGGTTTTTTTTTTTTTCAGATTTGATGTTGTTTGTATATAGAAAGACTATTTTCTTATTTTCTGTCGATATATAAAATTGTAAAGTATGTGAATTAAAATTTGAAATATTCTTTTCTAATTTATTGTCGATCTTTTAAAGTATGTGAAAATTCACATAATTGTTATATAGACTATGTATATATAGTTTTAGTTATTGATATTATCATTTTTTGTTATAGGTGATTTGTTACTCGCTCACCTTGAATTGGCATGGCCAACACTTGTCCAAGGGTGTTTCAAGCTTATGTCTTACTCTAACTTGATCGAGTCTTGGTGTTTGTTACAGACAATTTAGAATCGTGATGATACCTTCTTATTAACCGTAATATAAATTTAAACACACACTTATGGACCTACAATTAGACGTTCACACTAAACCTACATTGGTAATAGTGTAACTCTAAGGTTATTTATGTAATTGTGTAACATTACCATTATATATATATATGAGTGACAGGCTCCCTACTTAGGTAGAGCCTCTATCAATTATTCACATGGTATCAGAATCAAGTTGCTAATTGGAGAGAACCTCTATCTATTATTCACAACTGGTCATGAACCAAATGTAACTCGACCATGTGTAGACTAGACCTAACCAAAGGAAATTTGGTAGCTTTTGACCTAGCTCGGCCTGGCACAACACTAATGCCGACGTAGTTGGTATATTGAGTTTATGTTCAACAAATGTCATTGCTTCAATCCGTTTATAAACATAGCATTTTGTATTACACTTAAATAGACTAAGGGATAAAACTAAGACTAATGCATTGTATAATCAAGCAAGTGGGGTTATATAGTGTATCGAGTATGTTTGGCTTGAGAACAAAGTGTGGGACATGTAGAAGATGTAGCCATGTAAGACAATCAATGCTGCTATTAGCTGTAATTTTCTATGGGTTCTGCCAAGAGCAAGTATAAATAATACAAGTACAAACTAAACTACAATTGTAATTTTTATTATTTTAATACAGTAAGTAGGATTCTATTCGACCAAAAAGTGTCGTATTTCAGAAAACAAAACAAAATAAATCAGTTTTAATGGTTAAGTTTTTGGGATTGAAAGTGCGTAGAAAAAATAAGTGAATCTCCAACACCATGAATAATAACATATAATAAGAGTCAAATCAGTTATTTGAGCTTATTTAAGTCATCACAAGCTGAAATCCTACCATCACCCTACTCACATGGTCTACTTGTTACGTATAATAATACACTCCGGATTTTGGTTAGAGTTTAAGACCCCATAAAATTTTTAGTCCAGATTAATACATTCTTAAATCTAAGTCTCTAAGTCACACATATAATAAAAGTTACTTTAAGGACATTGACAAACGATGAAGTTTGAGTGTGAACATATAAAATGGAGAACTACAACTAGTTACCAATGTCAAATTTGTGAATTTAATTTGCTTGACCTTAAAATTCAAACAGAAGAAAAATGGGAGGGTTTTTTTTATGACCTCAAAAATAAAATAAAAAAAAAGTTTAATTTGAAAGTAGGTCGTGCCAAACTTGAGTAGACTTGAAACGTCTAACATTGCCAACCGTGTGAAAATACAGGGTGCATGCATGATGCATATATTCACCTGTAAAGCTTTGCTTTCAATCTTTACGGTTTTTATGAGTCCTCCTGTTTTTGTACTACTAGCACTCCATATTTAATTGAAGTAGGTTCTTGTCATGTTTGTCTAATACACTTGTGAAGCTTTTCTGACTTTTCTAACTTGAATTTTTTTTGAAATACCCTTTAACTTATCCAATTATATAGAAAACTTCTTATGACATTATCTATAGTATCGGAAGAAATTGAAGTGCAACAATCATATAAGGAGTATATTATAAGTGAAAATATCAACCAAAATGTTAATTAAGTAGTACTTCGTATATTGCTTTGACAGTTGATGTATGTTTATTAATTACTATGTAATAATGTATAGTTATATAAAAAATAAAAAATAAAAATTAAATTTAATTTCTTATCTAACACGTAGTCCTGCATAGCTTCTAAAGTCTTATTGAATATTCATTTAAGAGGCATTGTGTGAGAATATGCGTTAAACTAGTTTGTTGATATGATAAAACGCAATGAGTCTTATTTATTGCACAATCAATATCACATTTTGGGCGATAAGTCACAATTAGATTTTGTCAACAAGTCTTACATTATGGATCTATCTCAAATTTCAGGCAATGAATATCATATATTGGACACCGAGTGTCAAGTGCTCAAGTCTTGAGCAACACATCTCATATTGCGAGCAACTAGTCTAAATCTTAAATAATGAGTAATGAGTTTCATATTTTGGTTAACGAGTCTGAAGAAATTTTAAAATTTTCACATTAAACACAAGGTAACCCCATCTCACCCAATCTTTACCTATTAATCTCTTATTTGAGTAATGATTTAACTACTCATATCTAACATAGCAACTAGCAACCACTTTGGTCGAAAAGCTAAAACCATGTTAGGTTGCATTTCAAATCATTGACATCAGGGGAAAGTATACGGCACTAATATATTGAGTCCACTAGGACTCTAATAACACGGCGTTGGCATTAAATTGTGTTTAGATGGTATTATAAGAAGATTTTTAAATAAATTGAAACAAGATAAACTAAAGCCGATAATTGCTTGCAATTTTATGAGCTCTCTCAGCTTGATCCTGATCCACTTACTTATCACAACACACATTTAAAAAAGAAAATGAGCAAATTAGCAATGAGTCGCCAATTATGTTGCTTAGTCTTTATCAGTTGGATTATTGTTGCAATTATCCCAAGATAAACGTCCTCAGCTATAATTGTTAATATACTTACAAATTCTATTGATGGAAAAAAGAACAGTTTTAGAATACCTACACAAGTAGGAAATTAAGAATGAAAGATGTTAAGCTAACACAACAAATATTGCAAAATGTGGTCCAATTGAGATGAGGGAGAATTTAAGAAGGCTAGTGTTTCGGGGTTTTCTGATGTCCTGCGGGAGAGTTACAATTCCGAGACTGGAACCGGACGCATGTACCTGCAAAACAACGGAGACTCCTGGTGGTGGGAGCTCCGCCTCCAACGGTCAAGTTAGTACTTGATTAAGGAGTAATTAATGCGGAAATTAAAGTGATTGGGTCTCTCTAGGTGAGAGTGTTTAATGTAGGTAATCTGCTTTTTTAGCGTGATCAGCCTGTTATTCATGTAATCTCCCTTAATGAGGATTAAGGGAGGTATTTATAACCTTGGGAAACGTGCTAATCCTAGGTTTAGGTTAACCTAGGGCTGATTGGGCTTCCCTCGGAAGTTGGGCCTGGTGGCCGGTTTCTCCATTAGGCATGGAGTATGCCACGTGTCATGACATAATAGGTCCAAGGTGGACAAATAAGCGGGTGCCACATGGCAAGCCTTGACAGTTTCAACTGAGGGACACTTGGCAGGACCTGATTGGCCCACGAGGCGCATTCCGATTGGTGGGAGCAAAATCCCCTAATCATTTGCCCCTCAAATGATGGCACGTGACTGATCACGTGTTACCTGTGACAGGTGTCGCACTGTAACAGGCGACAACCTGCTACAGGTGTCACTCGGCGAAAGGCCGAGAGATTCTCCCGCCCAAATTATGAATTCTGGAAGTGACCCTTCGCCTTCTCACTTCGCCTATATATAAGGGAGTGTTGACTTCAGTCATTTTCACACTTGAGAACTTTGTGAGAGAACATTCGGACCCCTGAACTTGCTCTGACATTTTGGACTCTTTCTGCCTACCGCCTGCTCTGACAAGCCGACTGCAAAGGATTTTCAGAACTTCATCAACCGTCACTCGTTCAGGTAACCGTCGGTTCTCTTACTCTTAATTTTCTCTTTATTCTTTTTTGAAATGGCACCACGGAAGCACACGACACGACCTAGGTTAGTGATCAGCCGGTCACCGGGGACGGCTGAATCTAGGACTAGGAGTGTCGCCTGCCCTTTTCTGGACCCATCTTTTCCCTTTATACAAAGTCCGACTGTATCTGTGTCTATGCAGAGCATGATGGCCAGAACAAAAAAGACTGCCAGGATCTCAAATTCAGACGGCTCCTCCCACAGGGTGCCGATTAGTGAAACATCTGACCAGGCGCCAGATGTGGAAGTGAAACAAAGCGGCTTGAAAGCCGACTGTTCTGAGGGAGGAATCAAAGTGACCCCTTCCCATTTCACAGTTGACAATTCTTCATTCTCTCCTGCTCCTTTTAAAGGAGAGGAGGCGGGCCCCTCCGGGAGAGGGGAGGAGTCGTCCTCTTCGGACTCGTCAGAGGACGATTCCGAGTCTAGCTCTTCTGGCCATGCTTCTCTGGACACAGAAGAGAAAAACAGTCGCCTGCAAGAGGCGAGGCTTTCTCACGCAGTTGAGAAGGGGGACGATTGGGCGGAGCCATCCGCCTCTTACCGAGAGCAAAATACCCCCTACTACTGCACGGTACCTCGGGGCCGGATCACAGCCATGCAAGAGAAAGTGGAGAGCTTTATCGCAAACCACACAATGGGACCCGACTTTTTAGTGTTTGTGCCGGATCCAGAAGACACAGTCGTCTGGCCGGCTGGTACCAGTTATGATAGCGCCTGCTTTGGCTGCTACAAGGCGGCCATCAAGGCTGGGCTGCGCTTCCCACTAAATCCGGCTGTTCAGCGGATCTTGGATGGGTATGAGTTGGGGTTATGGCAGTTAGCCCCGAACTCCTGGGTCAACGTACTCGGCTATGTGGCCGGGTGCGAACTGCACGAGGTGGAGCCGAGCTTCGAGGCTTTCGCCCACATGAACTACCTCAGCCGGACCCCTAAGGCAGGGGGTACCGGCTGGTATCAATTGACGAGCCACAGAGGCTACCTCATGACGAGAGGTAAAGCAAACAAATGGAAGGACTGGCGGAGCACCTTCCTCATCATTGAGAGTTCAGACACAGAGCTGAACAAGCGCTTCAACAGGTGGAACAGGAATCCGCCCCTTCTTGCAGGCGGCCGCAGCATGCCGCCTGTTCCCCCCAAGGCTAAGAAAGAGATCCAATAGATCTCTACTGTGACAACAATGGAGCTATTGCTCAGGCCAGAGAGCCAAGAGAGCACCAGAAGGTCAAACATGTCCAAAGGCG